TGGGTAATTTCTGTGCACTGTGCATTTTGGATAGCAGTAGGCCTGCCTAAATGAAGTTTTATGCAAACCTCCTTTCAGCTGTGAATGCGCCATTAGGCTCCAGGGTAGATGGTTAAATTGCACTATTGATTTAATGTGCAAGAATATTTGTTAGTGCAGTGAAGAGATGCAGCTAATGACTTCTGTTGGCTTCTTCAGATTTTAGTCTGGCATACGAGAACAGAAAAGCCTGTGCTGGTGAATGAGGGGAAGAAAGGATTCACAGATCCCAACGTGGAAATCTGACTGTGCATGGCTGAGCGGAGACCAACACCTGGTAAGAGCGCACATTTTTGAACAGTAATGAGAAGCAACAGTAAAAAGGGAAAATACTAGACAATGACAGGAAAAAGACAAGACCTCTTTTAAATGTGCTTTTTAATTTCCATTTTTCACATCTCTGACCTTCCTTTACTGCAGAACTTCTTGAGACCTTTAGTTAATCTCTCTTTTTTACCTTTAAAACAGGCTGCTAAAGGGGAAATACCTGGTGAGAGGTTGGGGGAAAGAAGAGAAATCCAGGGAGTGAGAGTTTAGGCAGAAGTTACGTTGATAAAAAAACAAACCCTTGTCTAAACAAGAAGGTTGCCTTATTAACTGTACTAACATAGCTAAAGCACAAGGGTGAAGGATGTGGATTCATCCACCTGGAAACACCTGAGGAAAGCCAAGGCAATATTGGTGAAAGCATTTTTAAGTCAGGCAGAGCTTTCACCAAGGGAAGAGTTTAATTTATATCCACATCAAAGCCACACAAAGTCAGTGACAAGTAAGGGAGGGTGGATTAAACCCCACGTGAGGCATTTGGTGACAAGTATTTACCTAAGGTGAGCACACAGTTTCTTCTTCCATGGAAAGGAGGAAAGAACGCGCACATTGATGGGTGACTTCCTGCTCATTTGTTCATGCCCTGGCTTCTCACCTTTAATTACCTGAGCATCCTGGTGCGTTTAGTCTTCTGTATTTCCAGAGTGCACTCTGCAGTTGCTTTGCTAGAGTGAAGGGTGGGCTATTCACTTATATCTGCATCCAGACTATGTTGCCACTTTTCATCATTATGGGGAAAAAAATAAATGCACAACTCCCTTCAACTGGAGTGTAGAACCAGGCCTGGAGGGGAGAGAGGGTTGCTGCTTGTTCTCCTTTCCTCTTGAATAGAGAGAAGAAAGAACAGCAAAGGAAAGGGGTAGATTTGCTCAGCAGTGGTATATTTTTAACAGTAATGAGCTCTCTTATAGCACATTCCCTCAGGTTAGTTGGATGGAGCCCTGCCTGCTGCAGTGGCCTGCCTTTGCGGCCCATTGGCAGGACAGCAGAGGAAAGCCTGCACTGGCATATTATCTGTGCTATATATAGAGGCTTTGCAGAGAGGCCATAGCTCTTCAGCGCTGTCACAACTGCTTTTCACCAACACCCAGTTGCCTAGCAGCAGTACGCACAGATCTGCAATCCTAGATCGGTTTTGGGATAGTTCCAAGGGGTGGCAGCTAACTGCAGCGAGGCAAAAGGGTAATATACATGCTGGTTGTGTCTCTGTTGCAGAAGATTTCTTCATGCACAGCCTGCAAGGTTCCTCTCCACAGCATACAACCAGCCAGACATGCAGTAGCCAGGACCTCTGCTGACTTCCAAGAGTTTTAGCGTACTGAAAACAAGCAACACTGCATACATAAACTACCCGGATTCCCCTGCCCTTCCTCCTGGACTCTGAGCAGAACCAGATGCTCTGGGGGTGGAGAAAAAGCACAGAAAATACAGGACTGACATCAACTTCAGTACAAGACCAGCTGCCTCGTGAGATGCTCGGTTTGGGAGAAGTGCATGGAGGGCACGATGCACTGAAGACACGGCCCAGCTGGAATGGTAGTCTAGACTGAGGGGGCTGTTTTACAGAATGTGAAAGCAAGGGTGAGAATGCCCACAGGAGCGTGTTGGCCCCTGATGACTTGTTTTTCCTGAGACACACGTACCTTGTGGCTATGTGTGCAACAGCCTAAGCAGCTCTCTGTTCATGGAGGGGACAGCTGCCTTCTGAGATGGCACCTTAGCCCTTAATTTTAAACCTACTTTAATCAGTGTTTATTACGCTGCACAAGACAGGAAGGTTTCGATGGAGGGTGAAAAGCAAGGCAGGTTAGAACAAATCCATTAAGTATCTCTGTTCTCTTTGTACTCCCCCTCCTTTCCCTTCACTAGTTTCATGGTTTGGAGGGCACTCTTATGTTCCTGGATGGAGTTAAGTTTACAGCATGTGGTTCTCTATTCATCCATGCCAAAATAATTGGAAGTGGGTTTTAATGAGATTGTTGTGGGCATACACCATAGTACTTCATCCAGGCTCAGATCTTGGTTCTGTTTAGCTCTAATTTGGTTCATATGAGCATTAGGTGTGGGATTCTCTGAAGGGTGCTCCTACATAAAGCCAAATTTCCACTCTTAAAAAATAAAGTTAACTGCTTAAAACTAGGGATTGAATGATAGAAACTGATTTTATTGCATTTACCATTCTACTGGAATGTATCCTTCAGCCCCAGACCCTTTTTCAGGGCCATGCCAGAACTACTGCAGAGCTACTGGCGTGAAAAGCCACACTGGAGCAGTTTGAGAGTTAACTTCTGATGGATAGAGCAGCACCCTTGTAAAGGGGATCCTGTGCTTAGTGCTCTGTTTCTTCAGCACCTGGCTTGAGGTAGGCTGAAAAACTATCTGTGTAGAACATTAGTTGCCTCTTCCCTGTTCTGTAACATCAAAGGACCTGAGATAGCATTTATGAAAGGGTGTTCTCTGATGAAACTATATTTTGCTTCTCAGTGAGAGACACAGGACTGAGCAATGCAGAAGAGGAACCTGGGTGCTACTGCCTTGGTTGACTCTGTATTTGAGATTGACAAACTTGCTGAGGAAGAAACTGAGGTACAAGATACCCCTTCTCCCCACCTCAGCCCCTTCTAAAAAAAACCAAAACTTACCTCCCCCTTCATAGTTGTCGTCAAACCTTTGATCAACCTCCACTGTCCCAATTCTTTCAAAAAGGTCTGAAGCACAATTTTACCTTTGAATTGACAGAAAGTGTAATCCTGGAAATAGACATGGTTATTTTTAGCCCTAACACATAGAACTATTAAAATGCTATAGATTTGATTGTTAGCTTCACAGTGCAGAAGTCTCCCCTTGGACTAATGACATTGTGTATTTCCTAATATTTAAAAAAAAATATTTTTTTGTAAGTTATTTTCTCCCACTGTATATCAAAACCATTGGGGAAAAGTTGCATTCTTTAGTTCCCAGTCACAGAAGCCTTGCTATGTAGCCTTTACAAAAATGTTCCTTGAGATGCATTGGCTGAAGCGCTACTTGGATAGAAAGCATTTGATGCTACTGGCTGCTCTATGGGAACTGGTATTGTTATCTTGTATTAAAACAGTAGCTCTCTGTACTCAAGCAGATTTATTCTGTTATTGTACTAGCCTTCCAAGTTCACTTCAGTCTGCAAACCCTAGAGTGGAAAGAGACATTTTTAAAGGACTACAAAGTTTTCATACCATTTAAATAGTTTCCAACTGATGTCCTCTCCTAGCTGCATGTTTTGTTTCACTAATCTTAATTCCAGTCCCTGCTGGGTTGCAACCTTCCCTCCTTGGAAGGAAATAACTTTCAGAAAAATGCAAAGGATCGAGTCCTGAACACAACCCTGCATATACGCTCCACTCTCCTCAAAGTTGGTCACACGAGCCTGGGCACTTCCAACTTGCAGAGGCTACCGTGGTCCTCGGGAGCAGAGATACGTATGTTCAGTAAGACCAGCTCTGGCCAGGATGGAGTGTATTACAGCTGCGCTGTCTGTTCTCAGTTTTAAACAAACTGTATTTAAATTTGTTAAATAAAATTATGGTTTCTAAGAGCCAGAATACCCTGCAACTCCATTATCAGAGACAGTGGACATGTTTGGTGTTTCTCTCATAGCCTGAATCCTCTGGTTACTGGAACAGAAAGCAGGGGCTGAGCGACTTCTTGGAGATTCTGAACAGATTCGCAGCTTGAATTTGAGCTCTTCCCCTCCCTAAAGAGATGGCAGCTCCTCAGTGACTGCGGAGCTGGTGAGTGAAAAAAACATGTCATATTTTCCTAAATCCTCTGTTTCTGTTTTGAGGGACAAAAAGAAAACAGGACCCAGGATGTCACAGCAGGTTTAACTATAGAAAGTACGGGTGTGCTCTCCCATTTGCAACTATGTATGCAACCCCTTTACTTCTACCCCAACCAAAATCTGATTCCTGCTCATTTTACAAGGGGGAATTTCATCTTTAGGCGCTTCACAGTGAGAGCAGGGGTGGAGGGATGACTGGAAGACTAACTTGTCCTTTTCTCCTCCTGCACCTCCTCCTTGGAAGTTCTCATTCCTGCCTGGCCTGAAACATAATGACCTATTTGACAGAGGACAAAACACATTTCACTTTTAAAAACTTTTTTTTTTCCCTTTTTGAGAGAGAGACAACCTCCATAGTAAAACTTAGTGGGGAAAAAAGCTCAAATTAAAGTCATTTGAGAACCAACTTGGCTTCCAACAAGTGAACAAGTAATGCCCTCTTCGCAAAGGGAGTTGCTAAATTCTGCCTGGAAGCACAACAAAATGTTTTTCCACACCTGGTTACTCACATGTTCACCAACTATTTTCTCCCTATCTAATTATAAAAATGAGGAGGCCAGTAATAACACATTTTTAAAGTCACTGGAGAGCTGAGCTCAGCTTTCAGTTCAGATGGCTTCAGTTCCTTCGTGCGCGCTCTCTCTCTCTCTCCCTCTCCCTCTCTCTCTCTCTCCCCCCCTCCTGTCTCCAGCACCTTTTTACTCCCCCACATTCACCAAACAGTCCATAACATCATGCGCAGCCATCCAAGCTGTGGGTCCTCAGTAGTGCAGGGAGATGAGCTTCTGCATCCATCTATGAAACAATGGACTCTGGTTCCTTCGGGGCCCATTCTCTCTTCTGAACTTACTGCCAAAGAGCAAATTCTTTACCTGGGTCTAGTAGAAATTATCATGCCCAAGTACCTGGGCCATTGTGTCCCCAGACATGCAACCAGGAATATTCAAGATAAACCAAACATGGGAAAGAAGCTCTCATCAGTCCACGTACTGGGTCCTTCCTAAATAAGGTATGTCGACAGATTGTATTATCCGTCCTGCAGTGCGTTCTTCAAAAATGACAATCTGCAGAAGAGAGGGATATATAAAGTTTCTTCATACAAAGGCTGAGTTACTTTAAATATTTTTAGGAGGAAAAGGCATACAATCACAGCAGGGGAAGGAAGCATCATTTAAGGAGATCAATCAATTGAGTCTGAACAGTAACTGTGATTCTTCTTCAGCGCCACATGATGCAGAAAATGAACCAGCACCAAATCAGGTTTGTCTTGATTTTGAACTTGATGCAGTGCTTTGATGTTTAGCTGCCATCCTCATCATGTCTTAATGGCCGTCAGAGCCATAGCCAGCTTTAGAGCAGCACCTTCCCTAATTTTCACAGATCTTGGGAGATAACAGTCTCCTTCCTCTCTGTTGCACTGGTTTTCAGCTAGAGATAGGTAATTAATATACCGTATATGTCTAGCTCTTTGGCACGTGACTGGGAGCAGGATTTTTAATAATACAAACAAGCAAAGAGAAATCCCACCAAAGCCTCTCACCTCATTGCTCCCTTTCCATAACCAGGGGCCAGGAAGGTAGAGTGTTTCCTGAGGTCCAATTTTCCAGTAGCGGCCCAGGTTCTGACCATTGACAAACACAACTCCTTTTTCCCAGCCCTAGAATGGCGACAGTACACAGAATTACTGATGCAGCTGTATTGCCTAGTCAGCATCCCCACAGGAAACTAAGTCTACTTTCACGCTTGCATTCTTTCAGGCCACTTTCTGCAGGTTTTCTGCTTGCTTTCCCCGTGCAACCTCCCTGAAGCCATGAACGTTTAAGTAAGCCCTGTTGAACAGGAGTTATCCTTAATGTACTAATTAAAAGGATAAAGCTTTCAGAAATGTGCAATTCATGATTCCTGCTTGTACAGGAAACTTCATCCTTTTGAGCAGACATATCTATTTCTTCCCAAGCATAGAATATCTCCCCTCACCTATTTCCCAGGTGACAGAAATACTGTATTGCTACTGACTAGCATAATTTACAACAAAGTATAAATGGAAAAGTGAGCAGTACAATAATGATTGGCATGAACCTTGGCTCTAAGGGAGTGAAATCGGAGGAGGAAGTTTAATAATGCTTAATATCTCATCTTAAGTTCTATGCAAGAGCAGCAATTTTCCACAGAAGGAAGATGTGAAAGCTAACTCATGCCATGTCTACAAAGAAGTGACTCTTCTCATACCACATTGAGGAGGCAGGGATAAAACTAGTGCCTCTCTTCTTTTTTGTGCCTACTACTCCTCTGCAACTAGAAAAGAAATAGCATTTGTATGTCAGTAAAAAAGACTAACTGTTCATTAGCAGCTCTGCAGGGTCAGTATTGCACGTGTTTCCTCATCAGGACCACTACAGACTGAACAGAATTACCTGCCAGCTTGAGAAGACTTCTACACCCTCAAAATAATTCTCTTTCTCCGAGATCCAAGGAAGACTACAAAACTACAGACTATAAAACAAGAGCTCAGTCAGAGCTATTACACAAGTGTGTCTCTAATCAGCTTTTTAAAAATCTTGATCAAGAAAAAATAGGGGGGAAAGAAAAATAGGACTTGCCTGTAGCTTCAAGAAAGTGTCCTGTGGCTGATGCTCTATCCACAGCCTTCCGCGAAAAAAAGCCGGACCAACAAAGTAATCTGGGACTGCACTCCATCCCGCAACATGTCGCAAGCTGTAAGAGAAGGACCAAACACAGCAGGGAAGCGCTGAGAGACAACACTGATCTCAAGATCATTTCAAACCTCTGCTTACAATGGCGGATGGATGTTGTTACAACAAGGTTGCTATTTCCTTGCGTGCCTGGAATGTCAAGCAGTTGCTTTCTAGTAGTAGGGCCTAAAGGTAATATTCTTCATGCTGCAAAGGGATGAAGTGTTTATCTCATGTAAACATTCAAGGCAAGCACCTAGCTGATCTCTCCCCTCCGCTTAAGATAAGTGTACTGGTGGTACATGTCTCAGTCTTCATTATCCTATGCCTGCCATATCACTGATAGGCCAATTTCTGGTAGAAGAAAAGGATATCGCCATCTCTAATACTTTACAGCAACGTAAAAATCTCTGCTTCATGTTGGCTGCTGAAGGGCCCATCCTCCTTCAGATATGACAGTGCCACAGTGCAAGCTTTAAATGCACGTGGCTTGCACAGGCTAAAGGAAAACCTGCAGAATTGATAGGATTCAAAACAGACATTCCTGCCCATGTGCCTGTCGAGGAACATGAACACATCCTTGCACGTTTGCAGCAATTAGGTTCAATCTGGCATTATTTCTTACCTGTGGCAACAATTTGGGAGCAGGGGACAAACAGAAGAGAAAATAAGGAGTGTAGAAGTCCCACAGAAGCCTTGAGCTTCTGCAGAACATGTTCCCTCCGACCCTTATGAACTACATCTCTTGGATTCAGGGAAGTTATTGATCCAGTGCAGCTTGACTGCTACTGAATTATTCAACTAAAAGCCTACGACAATTCCTTTCACAATACCATGCGCTCCATCCTCCTACACAGTGACTGTAAGCTGATTGTGTTTCATTGCTACTGGTCAATTGCCAGTAACTGACTGTAGTGTTGACTAATCTGGCTTTTGTTTGGGCACGGCAGTTCACTTGCTTTATTGTTCCTCGCTGGAAATATTCTTTTAAAACCCTGCAGTCAAAGGTTATGCAAGTTACCCCATCAATAAGAATCCTTCAAGTAGCCCCCCAGCACCAGTTAACATTGTCCTTAGAAATTTCAAAATGTAGACTTTTTTTCTTTTAAAAGCCATTTCACTCTAACATGGCCTCTCTTTCCTTCCTACACAAAATGCAGGAGCTGTGATATCTTGGGGGATGCACATGTGTTACTTTCTGGTATTAACAACATAACCGGGAACAAGTCTCTCTGGATCATGGCCAGAGTCCATAGGGCATCTGTTGCCTTAAACGTTTGCTAAGGTTTTCTATATCTACTAACGGAGGCTCCCTGACTTACCCCTGCTAGATTTCTTTTTCAGTCTTTCTTGAATTAAAGCAAAATAACTTAAAAGAGAGGAAGCCATCTGGACTTGTTAATGTACTATTAGTAGCTTCCTAGAATTAATCCATCCCTTGCGAGTTTGAATTGCTAAATATATCAGCCATATTGCTAATTTCAAGAAAGATACAAACCTCTTCAACATGTGGGTGTGTTGGGACCCACCCCTTTGGGTAAGCCATGCTTTTACCTACTCGATCTAACCCTGCTGTACAGGCTGTGAGGAAGTCTTTAAATCCTCCACAGGTGGAATACAGTTCACCCCTAAATAATGGTATGATAAAGTGGCGCAATTTTCTGCACTATTTTGGGCAAAACTATCAGCAAGGAACTTATCGGTACAAAAATTTACCTACCTACTTTTACCTTGTGTTGCCCTTCTGCTACATTTCACTGCTACCTGTTAGATTTTGTACTGCTGGTAAACAGTTGGTTTCAAATGAGGAAGAAAAAATTTTCAGATCCCACAAACCTTTTCATAAAGCCAGGTTTCATCTCCAAACTGTAAATCTTGAAGTTCCTCAAGGGGGTTTTATTCAAGAAGACGTCACCAATTAAGCCTGCAAGAGCAATGGGGGTAATGAAGAGTTGAAAAACAGCTAAAGCTGATAGATTTTCCTATTTGAATGCGAGGAACAGCAGGAGATGGAAAGCAGCCACATTCTGCAATGGAATTAAGAGTCCATATGGTCCCATTGCTCATCCAGATTGAGTGGGGAACATTACTATACTTTGGCCTTTCCACTCTCTTCTTTGCTTCAACTCACCAAGCCATTAAACACCCTCCAAGCAGAAAACGTTGTTGGCACACGCAGCAGATGGGGTTTTGTTGTTGTTGTTGTTTTTTAGTTAGCTGTCCATGTATAGTTGTTTTTAAAACAGTAGATCAGTTACTTCTCTAATAGGCACAGCAAAATATAACACGGGCAAGCACTAATGTCCAGTGCTGATCCAGTGCTTTTCATCCAAGGATCTTAAGACACCTTAATGAGTAATTTACCTTTAGCACTCTCTAGTTAGATAAAGTTATTCTCCATGTAGCAGGCAAAGCCTGAGTCCTAATCCAGCCTCCTAATTACAGGACTGCAGTTGAGACTGCCTAAGCAGCACAGAGGCTTTATGCACCTCTTCTGCAGTAAAAAAAAATTAGTACAGTCATGTGCCTAACTCCATTAGTCCATTTTGTACAGTTTTTGCATACAGTTCCCCACTAAAATAGAATCCTGGGGTTTTGACCTCTTCCAGCTCCACAATTGTGTGTGATAGAGTTGAACATTTTAGTAAATTCTGCTCAACAGGATGCAATTTATTCCTCTTCATGTTGTGTGAGTTTTTAAATGTTGTGATCCTCCAATATCAAACACCCAGGAGAAAACACAGATTAAAAAAGGTACTTTCCTTCTTTCCCTGCGAAGTAACATGCTCACAGAGCAAGAGAAAGGGTACCCTAACATCACCTAGCAACTCCAGAGCAGAATAAGATTCATTGATGCCTTGGGTTTAGTTGTACCCCTATAAAATAAGAAGCCTTAAGGCAAGCCATCAAGCAGCCACTACTCTTCATCTACCATCGCTCCAGGCAGGGGGTGATGAACTGTGTTTTTTAACAAGTTCCCTCCGTCATACCGTTTCCCACCAACTCCCAGATGGTAGTCTTGGCTAGCGCTACGATAGCTGTATTGGGCCCTCAGTTTGGTTCTGTGTAAAGCACACAAGAAAGACAGTTCTACAATGTTTAAACTCAGAGAACTATGTAGGACAATTTGAGAACAAAGAACTTAACTTACCTTTCCTCTGTTCATTCAATGCCAGGCCATAATTGACGCGACCGCGGTTCTCTACCAAGAGTCTTAGCTGCCTGAATCCCTGTAAAAAAAAAAAAAAACAAAAGGAAGAGCATCAGCTGGACCAGTGCACAGCATGTGCTGTATCAGCCATAATGCTTGGTTAACAGAGGTCAGTAGAGGTGTTTAAGAGGGGAGGTGGCACCAATACCTTTGGCATTTGCAATTTATCTGTTTACTTTAAAATTCTGGATTATGTGACAGAACAGTGTCCCCATATCTTTCAGCTACTGCAGATAGTTATGCCACTGAGGAACTCTCGGCCTTTTCATAAAAGTTTTCTTTTTCTTCTGTTGAATTTTTAAGTACCACTTTGATATCACCCACAGAGCCAGAAATGGAGTTTGACATAGTACAGGCTTATGTCATATAGCTCTCCCACAAGTCATAAGAACAACTAGTATATACACCCACTCACCTACTCCTAGGAGCCACGCACAGATCCGTTGACATGCATTCAATCAATATACTAGTCCCTCTGCCAACTTCTGCCAGGGTAAGACTACTCTCAGAGCTAAAGAGAGACATTCCCCCTCATTTCATTTGAGACCCAAAAGGTGCAAAAGCCCCCAAACCCCCTTAAAACCTGCTTTGTGCTAAGGAAGATGAAGCCTACACGGACTTAATCTGCACAAACACGGTACCGGTACTCAATGTCTACAGTTGTGGATGTGGCAGGAAGGCTGGCAAATTTTGTGCAGCAAGGACTACAGTGACTTGAATTTTATCCATGGAAAACTATTAAAAAACCACTTCTTAATCACAAATAGTAACTTGGCAGTGAAATCACGCTGTATTGCACTAGTGAAATAGTGTCTAATTAGGGTATAACAACTGTTCCCTGTATCAGGCTACCGTACCAGCTAGTTAACTGGATTAGGTGGGAGGTGCCTCTTTAGCGGTCTTGGTTCTGTTATCCAGATACTATTGCCGTGAGCCATCTCCAATTAGTTACCTGTCCTTCAGGAAGGGAGAGCTCCACGGTGTTGTAGTCCAGCTCACCAACATACATGGTGTTAACAAACACCTGCAGAACAGAGCACAAGAGAAGAGAGCAACTTCTCATCAATTATACTATAATCATGTGTTGCGTAGGTTACTGAAGTTGTATTTGCGGAGGAAATTGTCTCTACTTGAAACTAGAACTCAGCGTCTGTAACTGTGTCACTGATTTCAGTCTAGATGGGGAAAAAAAATCACAACATTTCTCAGAACATTCAATATTGAAATGTTTAAAGATATTGTAAGTTTTAGTAGACTGGAACCTCAAGCTAATTTACAAATTATGAGGGTTGGGGCTTAGCTGAGAACTAAAAAGAGCGAATCACACTTCTAATCTAAAACTTCACATTTTCCTTCGCGGTTGACCCATTTCCTGCCTAGCTGCCAAGACCAAAGTGTTTATATCTGACTGAAGTTAGTCACAGTTGCCCTCTGCTCCTTACCTGTGCTCGGTCACGGACATGGTCCCTTGAATGCAGATGTCCACCACCAAAAATGACAGTCTCGTAGAGTACATATCCATACGACTGCCCACTGCTATCATTTAGATGCAGATTCTCCATGTTAACAGGAAACTCTGACTTAATGGGCTGCAAAGGAGAAACAAATTTAACAGCAGAAGTGGCCTCTCAGCATTGACAGGCCACATAGAGGCAATTCATTTAAGATAGGTGTTTCACTCTGCCACAGGTTACATTTACCCTGTAAGCCTCCAGAGGTCTGTTCCAACCTGAGTTACCTTATGACTCTATGAAAGCTACAGCAATGAAGACAAGGTACCAGAAAAGCGAGCCAAAGACTTGCAAAACTGGAATTGCAAGAGAACAGAAGTAGCAGTAAAAAAAGGTGAGATAAAAGATTTGCCTCCTTTGCATATCCTTGATAAAACATTCCCCAACCTTATCCTCATGGGACAGCAAGCCAGTGCAGTAATAGCCTTTTCCACCTAAGAGGTGATGCCTTTTAGTACCGAGATGCATTAAAATTCGTAGTACTACCTGTAAAAGAGATGGTAACGCATCCCAGAGAGAGATATATTGATGCAACAGGATCGCACCATATGATGCCTTGCTTTCAATCATGGGAGGCAGAGGAAGAGGCTGGCCTGTGATGCAAAAAGAAAGAGAAAGATGGAAAAACTATTCCAGATGCAAAAAGCCAACACAGATTTAAGGCCCCTCCAGACCTCCTTTGGTCCTCCCTCCCATCTTTTGGAAAAAGCACCCAGCCAGTCAACCAACCAGAGTTACAGGGCTCCAGCAGAAGGGCCAGTTTAAACAAGTCTCTGATTTAACGCTGTAGGTAGAACAGTATTTTGGTTCTTGGATTCATAATTACCAATGATCATGCTGAAGAGTTGTCGGAGCTTGAAAAATTTGGATGTATAGTCTCCAGCTTCTGTCAGCACAGCATCATAATCTGAAAAAGCAGCACATATGTTTTAAAAAAAAAATACAGCAGCTCTGGGACAGCCTTCATGTACACTGTCATCAAAGAAGTAAAAGCCCAAGACACAATTTTCTTGGCACTGTCTATATTATGGAAACCTGTACACTTTTATCTGTGTGAATGTAGCTAGACAAGCATAGAGTCGCTTAATTTGGAGAGGAGCCACTCACCAAGGAGTAACATACTTTTGGAGATCTAATTTGGATATATCCAGAATTTCACACAGGATTAAGTCAACAATTAACAATTTTAACAAAGGGCTGTTGGGATGAAAAGAGCTTTTACGGTACAATTTCACTTGGTAAAATTAAAAAACGGAACTGTCTTGGATAACCATCTTTCACTAGAAAGAAGAGCCAGCATGGAGATAACATGAAACAAAGTCATCATCTGCACCTTCTATTCCCAGTTCAGAATGAGGGGATCCTCCATATCCTGGAATGGGTCTGGAAATAGGAAACACTAATGTAAGCCTCCTTTTAGACAGGCATGTGCTTCTGAGCTATATTCCAACTCATCTATCCATGACAAAGTGGTTGTACTGATCATTTCTCAATGCTTCTATCAACTGTAACTAGCCCAAAGGGTAGTCTGAGCTGTACTCTCACAATAGGGGCACGGGCAAGGCAGTGAAAAAAAACTCACCGTAACTGGTGACATCTGACTTGTATTCATCAGCCTCCAAAGCACCGTTCATGAAGCCGAAGTTGGTGCCTCCGTGAAACATGTAGAGATTGATGGATGCTCCTAATTTGAGGATGCTTGCTACAGTATTCACCATTTCTGTAAAGGAAGGGCAGTGCCAGGAAGGCCACAGACCAAGAAGCTAGGCTAACACTCTTCCAATAATTCAAAGTAGACACAAACATTCTGGTCCTTGTCAGTCAGTCACGCCTGTGTAATTACAGTGATTTGTATTGTGATTTGTATTTTGCCCTCAGTAAGGGCAGCACGTCTACTGACATATCAGGAGATATTAATACATGGAAATATACCTCTCCTATAGGTGAAAACAGGTAAAGCTCATGTACTTGAGCAGGAATTTTGCCTTTAAGCAGAAGAGTTGTACGGACTACTCAATCAGACTCCTAAATTCAACACACCAATGACCCAATTACAAAGACAATTGCAGGAGGATAAGAGAGTCACTAAAATAGTCTGATATAGCTCTGTTTTCTCTGTACTTAAGATGCCCTGGAGGTTCTGGGGTTGTTGATTTTTTTTGTTAGTACTTGTCTTCCTTCCTAATGAGCTTTTAAACTAGAAAAAAACTGATACTTTTCAGAAGGTGCTATACTTGCAAGAGGCTTAAGTTCACCATATTCCCACAGAAGGTAAAATAATCCTCTCAATGAGGAGTGTTTAGTCACTAGACAAGTAATGTCGTTATGATGGAGGTTTCATAAAACTTGTGATGTTTTTACAAAATATAAATAAAGTCTTCACAGGATTTACATTAGCTCAGGAGGTGAAAGAGATGATTTAAATCACTGGGCTGCATTTTTTAAATCAACATAGAGTAGAACAAGGCCTTAGGACACATTGACACTAATATCTTCAGATGTTTGGCTCTCCACACACCCCACAGAGTCCCTCTTCGAGGAATAAAAAGAAAAAAATTGATTTACTAACACTACTAAAGAAAATCCAAGGCACGGCAACGTGACCCACTCACTGAGAGATTATTCATTTACAAAGACTTACACAAAGCAAAGGTTACAGCAGGACAGAAAATTTGAAGACGTTGCATGTCATTTTCCTGTGACTGTTTGCCAAACGATAAACTCTCCTATCTACAAGAACAGCATATGGTGCTCACCGTCTGCATCAAAGACATAGTGAGGGCCTCCCCAGTTATCAAACCATCCGGTCCAATACTCCATGACCATCTTTGGCTGATCTCTCTGTATCAAAACAAAACCAAAGAGTTAAAATGGAGACAGGGCAGTCTTGCACTCATCCCTGTCTTCTAGAGAAGCATTGTTCAAATGCAGTTTGGTGACATCGTTTACAAGAGCGTATTCTTCGCAAGTCGGCATAAAAAAAGCAGCTAAGGAGCTCTGAACAAGTGAGGAACAAGATGCCGTGGGCCAGCAATGCCCAGAACAGGCAGGCAAAGCAGAGAAGCACTCTGCTAGGCACAAAGCAAAAACCATGGCACACAATCGGGCGATACCACACAGTTCTGGATATTGTTGTTTGGTAGAGCTGTAGCAAAAAGACAAACCAACTGTCACCGTTCAGCTTCTGCTAGAAATACACATTTATAAATGTCTGCTTATCAGCTACGCCACTGCCAGCTGAGAGTTTGCAGGTGCACCACGGCCAATGCTTGCCAAGGTAGGAACAGCAGACCTTAGCAGCTTAATGCCTTTTTAATGCCACATATGGTGTTGGCAGGAAAGAATTAGCCTTTGCAGGAATTAGGTCTTCATTAAAAAGGCTCTGCACACAGAGCAATTGCTTCCCGTTTGTCACCGCTTGCCAGCTCCCTTAGCTCCTGTGGAATTCCACCCGGCCCCATCACACTGGACAGGACAACATGTGCTCAGCCTGGCTGGCACTCCCTGCTCACGGTATTTATTTCTAGTCAAGGCAATTTTGCCCTTTATTTGATAGGGGCTTTATCTGATGCCACATGAAATGGCCAAGGTAAGTGGCATTAAAGAAACTCGTGTTCCATTAGGAGAAAACAACCGCAGGTGCCTGTAATAATCTAATTGTGCCAGGTTCAGTCCAGCTCTTGGAAATATGTTTAATCAATCTGTCCCCAGTAAACTAGTCAAAGAAGGAGTTTTTTCACCTTCTGGAATAAGAGACCATAACAAGGAAAAGATAACATAGCTTCATAATCCTTACAAATATGAATAACAGGCTTCCTATCCTTTAATTAGTAAGTGTGGCAAAGGAGGAGCTGCTTTTATTGGGCCACATTACATTTGTGTATTCAGTTGGTGGGGAAGGTGCCGCCTTCTGTTCATTTGCAGGGTTTGGGGAATTTTGTAAGACCAAAAGAAGGCGAAAGCACATGCAGCAGAGCCTCTTTTCCCTGTACAGGAAAAGAAAACAAATTAAAGTGGTAGGATTCAACGTTCAGCATGCCAGCAGCAAGCCTTCCTTTCACAGTCCAGGCAAAAGCCAAGGGAAGAGATCAGAAGAGAACTGATCACGGCCAGGGGCAGATGTCAGTTGCTCACATCTTTCCAGGCTGACATTTGGAGCGAGCAGAGCAACAGGGAAAGAAGAGGATGGAGGATGCAAAGAGAGAGAGAACCTGTCACTAAAAAGCAAAACTTGTTATTCCCTCACTACTCCCTCATCACACAATCAAGATACTTTTCACATCAAGGGTTCATTAGGCAATTCCCTGTCCCTGATTCACATCTCCGACAGCACAGGGGGTTAAAGATGCTGAAGCTAAATTTGAATGCTTTTCTGCAGTGAGCACTGTTAAATGCCAGGTAGGCTGGGCTGCTGAGAAGGCAGGAAGAGCCTGGGACTGCGCTGTGTGGAAGGTGCTTTGTGAAGTTACTGTGGAAGCATATCTGAAATCAAAGTGTTCCTCTGATCGGTTCTGCTGCAGGTGCTAGCAGAAATAGGACCAAATGCCTAGTGGAGCCAATACTCTCTTCTGGCGCAGCATGCCGTTAATACAACTTTACATATCTACACTGAATATGAGATATTGGAGGTGACTGGAACACCCATCACAGTGTACCCTGAAAGAAGTGCAGTAGATCAGCACCCAGCATTTGAAGGCTACAGTTTTCAAACAGGCTGTTGATGGCATCCACAGAATCAGGGTAAAAGAGTTTGGGAAAAAAGATGATTGAACTTCAAGACAGAGGTCTGACAACTGCAAAGTAGGATTCTATTGGGTATCAACACTTGAAAAGTTGAAGAAATCTAACCCCTAATGGCTAAACACAGGCCACAGGGCACAGCTGAATGGAAAGCCTTTAAGAAGATGCTGGATAACAGTACACTTAAAACTTTCACTTTCCAGAGAAATCATCGTAAGTATTTTCACTGATTCCAGAAGGATTTGGCCTAATGAGAAAGAAGCCCAAACATTTGTTCAAAAAAAAAAAAAAAAAATCCAAACCAACACACAAAACCAAAATAGACTGTCAGTGTTTCATTTCTAATGCTGTCCTGGAAAATCTAGGTGAACAAAGTTTTTCTGCATTTTACCTGTACTGTGTCCAGATATTTCAGTAGCCCAGGTTCCAGTTTCTGAAAGTTAACAGTGGCCAGTGCTATTGGGAAAAGAAAAAGGGTTTTATTAATTTAGACAGGTACAAAATGCCTAGGGGACCATCTCTTTAGGCATCAGCCCAGCACAAGCTCAGGGGGAACTGGAACATCTTCTGAACCACCAATATAACCTCCTCGGAAATTTCCCATCAAAGCCTTTACTTAGTATACAGAACCTAACTAACTGGATTGCAGCACACAGTGGAATACTTGCAGGCCATCTTTTTAGCTCTAACGTTCAGAGATACTAGAAAGAGAGAGCGTCACAGCAGCTCATGGGGTGTCACAAGCTTTAATTAGAGGCTGTAAAGCACTTGGAGATCCTCAGATAAAAGGCACAACATAAAAGCAAACTTATTATTAGAAAGTCATATCTGGATGTCACACTGATCTCCCAGGCTTTAGCTGCAGGAATCGCTACCCAGGCAATATCTTACAGCTTGTCATGTCTGTGGGGGTGGGTGAGAGAAACCACAGTACAAGTGAACCAGATAGAAATTGTCATTGGAAGATTTATCTGTGCTTCTGCCCTGTGCAGCATGGGGGAACCGGCAACTAGTTTGTGTTTGCTGCGTGTATAGTGAAAGTCGCTGCATGATCTTCAAGCACTGGAGTGGGAAGACCTGTCTGCAGGAGCTGATGCATTAGAAGACTCTAACATGGTATCGGTGTCCCAGCCCCTGGTACGCATTTAAACCATTTTCATACTTTCCTAGCCTTCGGTCACACTGATGATATTTCTCCCAAGAAACTTTGAAAATGCAGGAGCAATGATATGATTCTGTATTAAAAATTGACTTCTTACAAGAGAGCTGGTACCAAATCCAGCCCCAGTTGTGTCAGACAGAGCACTTCAAACAGAATACTTACAGAAGCAAAAGCTCACTTCTCACTATTTATACCTTGATTTTAATAGGCTGACCTATGTAGTGTGCTAAGCTGAAGAATTTGGCACAGGCAAACATGGTGGGAGAACAAAATCAAACACGGATTTAGCATTGATGGCAATCCTGAAGGTGAACATGCCCAATTCTGCTCTTCATGCAGATTAACAGCACGCCATTGAAAATGGTACAAAGGTGCGGAGAACCAGCCCCCAAAGCCTTATTCGTCCTTTCCACAGCAGGTAGTTTTAACATACACACACAGCTTTCCACCATGGTGCTTTAGCCATGGCCTGGAGGGAAACCAGAGTTTTTATTTTGTCACCCGTCAGCTCCGAGAAAGGCTGTACCAGGTCAGATTAGAGCCACCTGGTTTGGGATTCTTGCCACTGACTGTGCCCGTGAAGGGAGGAGGATTGCAGGAGCTGCACAGGTACCCTGAGACTGACCGAGATTTTCTCCCTACAGCATGGGACATCCCACTATACCTATGAGCGAAGGGGACCCCCGACAACAAAAGCTTTCCTCCTCATCCCCAGTGCTGCAACCACCAAACAAGGGCTACAATGCTGTAGTCCCAGGTCCTTCTACGACAGACAGTTTTCTCCGCAGAGCACCAGACTGACTACTGGCATTAACGGGAACCTACAAATGCCTCTTGGAAAGAAATCGGTACACCACTGATGAACAGAACAAACAAAGTGACAGAATCACTGCATTAGTTTTTGACTCCATACTGGAGTCTTCTGTTTTCTTAACACATTTGTACAGTGGATTTTGTTCTCCCTCTTTTAGCGCTTTCATAACCACCTTGCTGCTATACCACTTTGAGCCCTAGTTATTCCACGTGTCTGATTACTTGACATGTTGACTCTAATGAGCAGATTGTTATGACATCTAAAAGGCAAATTTGTATCAAAGAGCTCTCAGCATGCAAGGCGCTGGAAAAGACAACTCCAAACAAGAACGAGCTCTGAGGCAGTAAACATTTCCACAGAAGATGGTGAGGGCTAGACAGGGATTTCCACACCAGCCCTTCTGCATGTCAGCTCGCTGGCAGGGAGAGAGTGACTCTCTGTGGTCAAGGCTGGAAACTGCTGCGCTCCAAAAAAATACAACAGGGAAGACCACCGTACTGGTGAAGGCCCATGGACTTCAGAGTTATTGAATTTGTCCCTCTCGTGCTTTCAAATAAAAATAAGAGAAGGAAAAAAAGGAGGGAAAAGTCTTGTCTTTTGATCATCTTCATGCCTGAGATTAGAAAATTAGCAGTATTTACTACTGAGTGATGACAGGAGCACTCAAAGACTGCACGCTACAAACACTTCGTTCAGGGAAGCAATTACTACTCAGGCAGGCAACTGGCAGAAACACAGGAGAGATCACAGGCCAATCTCGGCTGAACTGGATCTGCAAAGCTGAAAATCAGTATCGCATTGCCCCAGTCAGATTTAGGGCGCAGTGAAACTCAACAGCTGTACCTCCATTTCTTCAAGTGAAAAGCAGGAAGGGTGCTAAGCAGCTTTTTAAACACTTAATAGAATTACACTTTTTAAAAGGGAAAGGGAAAATGGACATGCTTTTGCATTATGCACATCTGATACCCTCCTTTACCTACCTACCAAAGGCTGCACACCCCAGAGCAAGCTCACTGAGAAGACAGGGCTGTCCCACAAACTACTGCTAAACTTACAGAATGTTAGAGTTCAGAATCTGGGTGTTGATGGCCTTTTTTCTTCTCTTTTTAATTGCAAAGCAGGTATCTTAAGAATAAGTTATTACTATCAGTAATTGCTGAGGTACTTGTTTAATATCTATTCAAATGAAACAGTAAGAAGTAGTATTTTCAACCTTGTAATCTGGTGGAAACAACACCAATAAATGCTAGGTGCTGCCATCTCTTGACTAACCTCATTGGGAAGTCCAGATGCCCAATACTAGACAGAAGGCAGCAAAGTATTTAGTCTGCACACGCTTAATGTCCTTGAGCAGAGAGGCTTCCTCCCCATGGAGGAATTCTGCCATCACTGTGTTACACCTTGTGTTGAAAAAAACCACTCTAAACCTTTCTGGGAAGGGCTGGGTTTGTTCTGTGCGTATACCATCCAGCTAAGGGGGTCCCTCTTCTGCGGCTGAAGCTCCTACCACAAACAGAATCCAGTGAACGGGTGCAGCTTAGCGAATGGAGCCTACTGCTCTCATTCAAAGGCTACATTTCATCAGCTGCCTCACACAAAGAACACAGTCTTACCTTGCTCTCCTACAAGCACGTACCTCCTTCCACTAAGCCAAATGACAGCCCGTTCTTGTTGTCCGAGGTCATTAACAGTTCCACAATCCCTCTGTTTAACAGGGCCTAAATTAAAAAGAGGAAAAGCCATTGTGTTAACAGCCCGAGTTTAGTATTTGTCAGGATATTAAAGCATTAAAGTACATTATCACCTTCTCTCAGTATAGCTTGAAACTGGTAGTGGCTTGGTAAGAAATATTATTCCTGTGACATCTCGCATTCCTCCTGAAGCTTCCCTGCCTACTTTTTCCAGCTTAAAGACAACTGAAAAATCTTATTTTGTTTTAGAAAGCTGGATCGGTTTCTCAGCGATGCATCAAACTTCAGGATTTTATCTTTTTCTTCTGAGATCAGTTCAATAAATAGCTTAACTGCTTTCCATCAAAACAGGGCTTCAGGTGGAAGAAGAACAAGAAAAGCAGCTCACCCTTCCTGACTAACAATGGAAGCTGAAAGGAGAAAATAGCTGCTTTGCCAGTGAATGCCATCACAGGACAGTTCAGGTACCTATGTTCTTGAATAGTTAAGTCTGAATTAATTTACTGGTTCTTCAGTACCACAGCACTGAGCACTCTAAGGTTTTTAATATGCATATGCACACACAAGGTTCTTCCCGTTAGGATTTTTCTCTTACAGATATTTTTTACAGAACAGTGGCTGATGTTTGAAGGAGAGGTTAGGAAATCCTAGTTGCAAATTAACCCCTCTTTTCCCTGTACCTGCATTGGAGTTCACTCCCTCAGCTTCAAGGAGCTCTGAAAGCAAGCCTTCAGTCTCTTAATTCTAAATTACTAACTGTAAAATGGTGATAAAGACACATCAGCTCACACAGGAGTTACCCATGTCACGTGCACCAACTTGTCTGCTGTGTATTTAAAGAAACCTTTGCATATTGCACATGCCTACACACCCGGTGCACACAGGGTAGACTTGAACATCACACACGGTCTACATTAGAGAAGCATTACAACACGGAGTTTAAAGACAAACCCAATTCAGAGTTAAGACAACCTGGTTAGTTTAGCAACCTATCATCACTAAATTGATACCTGAACAGATGCTGGTATCTGACAAAATTCAGCTACTGAGGGAACTGGAATGTATAACATGTTATTACAATAATTCTTTGAGCACTGCATTAATACTAAGTTTCTTCCCCTCCTTTTGGATGTAAGTGCAAAATGGAGAAATGGCAGAGAGCTGCCACACATTGAAATGCATTGCAGGATTTCAGGGTGCAGCACAGAAACCAGGAATAGAAACAGCTTCTGAGGCAGGCACAGGTGTGTGCGCAACTAATCCCAGCTCATGTACTGTGTGGGGAGGGAGGTGCCCATGCACCCTTTCATGGCCTAGACATTTTGGAAGGCAAAGGCACTGCACCCAAAAGAGTGAGATAAGGACGGGGATTTCAGGTTTTGTGTGAGCTGTGGGGTTTTTTTAATGGGTATATTAATCCAGGAAGATTGCAGCATTGTCATATATGCTAGATGCAGATGTGAATTAATCAACTTGCCACATTCAAAGCTCGAGGCCCAAACCAGAGCAAAGACTAGGAGCTCCACCTCACATTAGATCCCACTCCGACCAAAAAGGAAGCCCTGCAAATCCTGCTTTCCCACATTTTCGTCGTTAACCACTATAATATACTTCCTCAGATGTAAGTTGCACACAATACCAGAATATGACGAAACAGCACTGCAAAAATATACCCACAGTCCTGGCAAGGAAACATTATCTGTTCTGACAAGTCTGTGAAACATCACAAGCTCTTTCATCGCTGAGATATGGAAAAGCAAGCACCGAGTTGGCACGCTGTTCAGACACAACAGAGCCTCTATGCCCTATTCATTTAAGGCTCTGAAAGCCATTTGCTTATGTGCTTTCCACTGGTGGGACACAGGGAGGGAAACTGTAGATAGAACAGACAATTTTAATATTATCAGTTCAGATCGGCAATTAACTCTTTAACTTGTCCGTATGTACGCTTCATATTTAACCTTCTAAGCAATGTTAAATCACTCCACGAGATGGAGTTAGTGCAGGAGCAGGCACCACTCTAAGCAGATTAGGACTCCTGCCACGCGATTTATTTGGTTGAAGAGCCTCTGCATACCTTGAGGAATAGGACAACCTGAGCCAGAGCTAACCTCAGGATGCTCAGGGCGAAGCTGAGGTACCGGTTTCAGAAGGATCTGAGCATGCTGTAGCAGAAGAGCAGGGAACATACAATTTATAGATGTACACGCCACTGGATGGGTAACCTCTCTCACGTGCAGCGACGCATTTAAGCATTCAGTGAGAAGAAATTAAGCAACGAACCTTGTAAGACATACTGCAGATCTTGTTAACTGTCTGCCTTGCAATTGTACTGGGGGCAAATGAACAGGTCAGATTCATGTTAGATCCACCAGGATAACCTGGCCTGCCTGGACACTGGCCAACTCTTTTATCATTTGGTTCAGAGGCAGGAGCCAGGCCACAGTCTAGTCTCTGTTTGACAAGGGTAAGGGAGGCATTAGGCAAATCAACCTCCCTGATGCTGAGCTCCAGATGACACAAGTTTAGGAGTGTGCTGGTGGCTTGTTCACATAAACCTTCCTCCCAGGAAAGTAAACAAAAAGAAACCTTACTCTAATATCATCAAGAGAAGCAAAACAGGACCAGCAGAAGACAGCTTCTTCAAGGCCAGCTATGTGTTACAGATACTCCCCCATTTCCCTATCACCCCCTTCTCTGGAAGACATAAGAACACAGGTTTATCAATACTGAGAGGGTCATATGCCATCTCTTCCACTCCAGGAAGAAACATCAAGGGAAATGCAGCTGGATTATGCACTGACGCTTTCAAGGGTTTCTGAAGCCATGTTCAAAAGTTATTCAGAAGAAAGAAAATACTATAAGGAAGGTGGTTTATGAAAAAGATTCACCACAGAAACAAGTAAATGTGCCAACATTACCATTTTAACATAGGTCATGTAGTTTGGGTCTTTGGCGTAGGAACCATATTCATTCTCCACCTGCACTGCAATGATGGGGCCTCCTTTCTTGTACTGTTGGGAACAAAAGGGAGAAGTTGTTCACCATGATTTCTAATCAGAGGGACCAAAATCACAGGGGCACTGGCTTGCAGGAAAGATGCACGAGTCTCAGACGGACTCAGCTCCACCCTCTCATCCTCCCAAAGTCTATGCATAACCGAACGGCTAGATCTGGAGAGCTGACACAGACAACTACAGTCCATACTGGACTACGGAGCTCGTAGATTTGTTATTGCTTCAACCTGCTGCCATTACACACAGCTCACACCATCTGTGCAGACAGTCCCCACTTGTGGACAGAGAGGGTAATGGATTGTACTTGCCTGAAGAGGAACTACAACAGGCATCAGATGATCAAAATAGGCATCCACAGCTTCTGTGAAGCCCTTGTACGTTGTCCTCAGTTGCATCTCTGGGTCTTGCAGAAGCCAACTATGAGAAAAGCAGCAAACAGAATCTATTAGAGTCTCCTGTCCAGTCAAGGCTGCCAGAGGTAACACCACCCACTGACATCAAGTCGCATTTGGGCAGGAATCACTGATCTTTCTGTGTCACTTGGCTAAGCCCGCAGTGCAGGTATGGACAACATCGTGAGCCAGTGAATGACACCATGTGAGGCTATCTGAGAAATGAAAAGATTAAAAGAAATAATCCCCAAATTTGTCAAGTGTCTCCACTGAGGTTTATACTCTGTGAAGGTAAGGAAAACAAGTGGTATGTAACCTGGCACTGGTTCCACTGGGATCTAGTAACCAGGCAAGTCTCGATGCTGACGTATTCAACTCAGCTCTCAAAGCCTCTTACCAACAAGCTGTGTGCTTTAGGAGAAAATGCAGTAGGAGGTTGGAAAAGTTATGGGTCTTTATTACTGCCAGCCATATCGTACATATGTTCTAGTAGGACTTTTAAAATGGACCTAAGATGAAGTAAATTCCTACATCAAGCTGCAAATACTACTATTCATATTATACAGACAGTCAAGTTGCAACAGCAATAGAAGATGGGTTTCCACAATTCTGTTTTCTTGCTGTAACCATTATGCCATAACACAATTATTATTTTAAAGAATAACTGCTCAAAAAATATTCTGGTTCCAGGCTTACTATCTGTACTGCTTAGGAGAGCTCAATAACATAATGGGTCTTCACCTGCTTTGGGGACACAGGAAATAAATATTCCCATCTAACAGCCAGCCATTCTAAGTCTTTGAAGGAGGCTCAACTGTGTAATCGAGGGTTTGGTTTGGTTTGGTTTGGTTTGGTTTGGTTTGGTTTGGTTTGTTTGTTTGTTTTTTCCACAGTCCCAAACGCTTTCCTCCACGGAACTATTTACACACTTACCTGGGCAGACCACCAAGGTCCCATTCAGAGCAGATATAAGGTCCAGGACGCAGAATCACCCACAGTCCATTTTTAGCTGCCAGTGAAAGGAAGGCCCTAGAGATCCAGACAGCATAATTAGTGTCTGACTGCAGAATCCCTACTCCATGCACTCCTAATACACCAATCACCATGAAATTTAGGTACCAGAACCAGAAGAGAATCACTTGATGAAGCAACTATGCTGGATTGGTACTAAACCTGTAAGTTCCCAGGACTCCAGAAAGCAGGGGAAGGACTGAGAGTCTCCATTGCCTGATCAAGGTACAGGCTTTGCTTCAGAAGCTGGAAATGACATCTTCATCCAGAACCGACATGCACACCCACCCCTCAAAACAGGAGTATTTAGTAATAGAGTTGTCTGTACCACATACTCTAGATCCAGATTTCGACTGAAGTCAAACTTCCCTCTTTCTTGTTCATGAAGGTTCCACGGCACGTACCTGAAATGCAGAGTTAGGGCAGTGGAGGTGAAGGGCTGAAAAGAGCACTGCATTTGTGAAGCACAGAAAAAAAACTACGTACTCCCTTTTTTCGTCAGTAACAGATCCAGAGATTACTGCATGTACACATTACAAGTGTCTATTTACAGTTATTTGTGCCTTTCACTTTTCTGACAAGTCCTTATTTTGTTGCGCTCTTTTCCTGTACTCTGCAATATTGGAGTTTCTCAAGACCGCCAAATGTCGTCTCTCTCTAGGTATATCTTTCATTCTCCAAACCAGAGCAACTTCTAAATCACAGCCATGCTGAATGGTTGTTTCAGAGCCTGACCCTTCCTCATCAGGTCAGCATTAAGAAGGCACTTTCCCAGTACGTCTGATAGGAATCTGTTCCAGTCGGTATTTGAGGATACTGCAGCGTGTGATGGTTAAAGAAAACCTGAGTCCCCACTACTCTTTTGTCTTTTCTCGTAATAACAAGTACAGAAAGACATTGTTATGGCCCACTGGAATTAATTACGAAGTCCCACCAACTACTATGGAAGAGGAGAGAGGCTGCAAGGTGCACGTGACAGAGCCTAGGGAGTGAGGACACTTACGTCGTGAGGGTGTTTAAGCCACATGCTTTCATCTTAAGCATGCGGTCTTCCCAGTATTCCCTGGGGACTCGGAAATAGTGCATTGAGCCTCCAAATATGCGGAAAGGCATGCCTTCCAGGAGGAACTGTGAGTTTTCTGTCTGCAAACCTAGGGTCCTCCCCCATAACCGCAGAGGGATCAGCTCACTCCAGTTAAACCTAGAAGAGAAAGAGAGATATATAAGCATCCACTCTCTAGTAAAGAAATCTGTGCTTATCATAAAGCAATCTGGCCCCCTAAGAGAGGCTGCTCATTTCACCCTACCTGGCAGGATCAGCTCTGACCTTCCTACGTCTTAAGTAAACCATGCCCTTTGTCATACAGAGCATATAGATTTTTCAGAAGACTATAAAACAGATGGAAGATCTGCCCAAGATGTGTATTTAATATTCATTTCACTAGTAGCTTCCATCCTGAATGCCCCAAGCCACTCTGCAATACTCTACAACTGAAAGGTACCACCGCTCAGGCAGAGATCATGAAACTAACTTGCTGAAAACAGAAGATTTGCAGCTGCATTTCAGTATTGCTACCCTGAATGTCTCGTGGTCTCTGATGCCTTCCAACTCAATGCATGGAAAAAATAAAGAACCCTCACCTGTTCACGGTGAACAGAGAACCTTTTCCTTAATTTAAAGGAAACTCCTGGACTACATTCATCACTCAGGAAAGATGAGGTCTGCTGTCATCACAAACTTACCTCTGCCCGCATTACTGCTTAGATTAATTCCTTCACATGTTATTTCCCAAAAGAACTGGAGCAAAGGAGATACCAGGTTGCAAAGCACTTACCAGTTTCAATACTCATGCCATCACAGCTCCATTTGGGTCAGTTCCTGCACGCAAGGAACTACCTCCTATTGCCTTACATGACTCCCCAGTTCGTTTTGGCTGAACCAAGAAAACGTTTTATCAACTAGTCCAGACCCAGAGCAGTTACGCTGCCTCCATCAAACCATCCCAGTTCCATAACTCTGAATACACAAAGGAGTTGTTAGACAACAGCAGCTTGTTCCTCTGAGACGTTATCACAGCCAGATGCGAGGGATGAATTCCCATCTCAAGAAAGCAAGAGTGACCCACACATTTGAGAGAAATGTCACATTCAGAGAGGAGGGAAACACCTAAGCCTCCAGCTGTTTTCTAGACTACGTGTAGAGCAGGTATTAGCAGAGGGTGAGGACTTCTCAGAACTCACAGCCTACAGGGATTGCTAACCAGGAGCCTGCAGCGATTACCTGTCCTCCGACACAAGACAAGGAGACTACAAAGGAACTAAATCTAAGACTTCCAGGATGCTGCACGGGCTGGCTGACAAGCACAGAGGGTACCTGTGTAGCACAGCATTCTCACAGAGCTCTGAAACAACCGGCAGCAGGCATGGGTAATACCTGGAAAAGGAAGTCTAGATTAGATATTCACTGCCTTCAGTCAATGAGCACTCGCATGCATTTATTGTCAAACCATTTACAAAAAATAGTGCTGAGCAAGGAGATCGTAACAAATCCCATTCAGAAGGTGGTGCAGTAATAACAGAGCTTTTATGAAGATAGCGCAGCTCAAAGTAGGAGAAATAAGCACAAAATACCTAACTGCCACATTAAAGGGTGACCGCCTGAATGGCACCAGGACCAAAAATGCTCACCTACACAAGACACTAGGCACAGCCAGAGAATGATGACGTGAGGCCAGGAAACGGCGGCATTGCTCCCAAGGAATTACTATGAATTTTACCAGCAGGGGAGGTGGTTCTCAATCCACGCACAGGATATCCTATGGCTACCTGCCCCTCTATTCTGCTAGAACTACATCTTGCACAGATTGCCACTTTTGCAAATCAGATCCCAAAACTGCAGCTATATCTACTTCTGTTGCTTGGTGCAAAGCTCAAAGGGGTCTGGAGACACAAAACTCCAATTTTTAAAGATTAGGTTGGAAAACACCTAAGTTTCCAATTTGCTTCTCAGCTAGGTAAAGCCCTAAACGAGCCCTGCACACAACAGTGCTGCTAACTGCCACTGGCGCCAGAGTGAAGGCTGTGCTCAGGAAGCATACATAGCCAGACAAAAATAAACAAATTACTTAAGCTCATCTTCTTAATCCTGGGCATAACTTAGTTGGCAAGTTTCCTTCAAGTTTCCTACCTTAAAACTCCCCATCTCCAGTGTTTTTTCTCACCAAGAAGGACTGGTAGAAAGTTCCCAGGCTCCCAATATTTTTAACATATTATCCTGGATATCCTGAAACCCACATCTCTCACTAGGATCTGTTCAAGTGACTTCAGAAAAAAACTTCTGTGACTCAGCAGAGCTTCATCCTGTTGCCCTGAGCTGCATTTCTACAGCTCTGTGCTTCCTCTTGAGAGCAATGTATAGCTCCCAGTAGATTTTTTTCTCACTTCTATAATGACAGCACAGGTTGCAAAGAATCTTTTTTTTGTCTTTGCTAAAGGTTACTGGCCTACTTTGTCCCTCAGTAGCCATTTCCTCCCTGCTTCAGGGAAGTCTCTTTTTCTGCAAAAAAATGGCATTAGATTACCAAGTTCCCCCACAACAGAAGCTTCGAAATTGGGTTGGACAAGTTAGTCCGTAACAAAATGATCTGTCTTTATAAGACGTAAGTCAAAGTGCAAAACACTCGAAGCTGAACAGGAAAGTCGCAGTTAACTGCTAAACCAGACAGCTACGCTAAGGCATGCATGCCTGTAAAACAAAAACCTAGCTGAAGTCCTCCCTGCATGAGATAAGAGATTTAGCTTTGGTATCAGGCTACCACATACCCAGAACAGTTGGGAGAAAAAGCTAACAGAAAAGAAAAAGAAAGGCAAAACAGGGGAAAAATCACGGCGACCATTAGCTTGCTTCGCCAATACTAAAGGACGCGCTTCAGAGGACAAGGGACTTTACAGTTAATCCCTAAGCTCTACTTAGACCTGCCTCAGAGGGCTTTGCTGTTTATTCTGGGCTTCCTCTGGCCAGAGAAAAGTGAAAGCTTTGAGTTGCCTTGACCCACGACTCGTTGCCTTGTGGCAACCGAGGTCCTGCGTCGGTCAGACAAGCCCCAGGTGCACATTCAGCACGGCTGGGACAATGACCACGGCATTTTGCAGTACAGTTGATTCTCAGGTGACCTGGGCCACACGGAAAAACACTGGGTACCATGGATAGGGTGTTTTACAGATACACTCTTGCAGGAGCCAGACTTCTGTGCTTTTATCAGGTATCAGTTTGCAATAAATCTCTGCTAAGAACGTATGTGGCACAAACCCAAGACCAGCTATAAAAGAATTTTGCTTCTAATTAAGCAAAGATCTATCAAGGCTTTTCTATAGCTTTGAGGATCAAGTAACTTCCTACTATGAATTTAAGAAGCCATTATAAAATATCCAAGTTATAAAAAGGATCTGAGGGGTAACATAACTACCATCTTCCCTTGCCTGAATGTCATCTCCAGCACTCTGCTGTCAGGGACTGAAGAGCTTCTGTCAGTTGGCACGGAGAAGCTACTGTGCAGACACACACCTCTGGCTATAACATGAGACACGCTCGTCCAGGAAGGAGCATCGCCCCCAAAATGAACGTGATCTAAACCACACGGGATTGCAGCTAGAACCTCGGATAACTTCTTGTTACTACGGGTGGGCTACGGAGGAACGGATATTGGCCCGAAGCCTACCAACGGGACCAGAAGAAGAAAGTTCGCACTGTCCTGAAAGGAGAGGTGGGCACCGCGCCGCTCAGCCCGCGCTGCCAGCGACGAGGCGGGGACGCAGACCGGAGAGGACCAGACCCAGAAGAGGCTGGAGCGAGAGGGAAACGAAGCTCTGGCGCGAGCGCGTCGGAGACACTTCAGAGATGGGTTAGATCTGGGGGAGCGATTGATTTGCAAACGTGCATCATCCATCAGAGCCACGATGATGTAAAGCCTTACGAGCGCCAAGGTCGGCAGGGATAGCATTAGCCTAACGTAGAATCCGATTTATAGCGCTGGCAATTGGTCTTTCCTTACCCATTACTTTTTATGGCAGACAAGAAGTTGCGTATATTACGCGCTACATTTCTTTAAGGCTTTTAAACCATTTCTGCACGGAGGTGGCACTGCTCTCTCGGGTCCTTCCCACGCTCTCCGTCAGCGCCGCCCCCCCCGCGGGCTGTCAGAGGTGGCTTGGCCGCCGCGCCGCCACCTTCCAGGCAGCCAGAAGGAAGCACGAAGTTAATCACCGTCTTCCCCCGATTTCCACCCAAGCGCGGCTGCTCTCGGCGGCAGACCCAAGTCGCGGCGGCAGGCCTGCGCCCAGCAGCGCGGCGGGGCAGCGGCAGGCGTGCAAGCCC